TATATACTTATTTTCCAATCTCCAATTCTCCATTATACTCTAATATTTAATTCTTATACAATTATTATATCCACTTAATACATACATTCTACATCTACTTAATATATATTTATATATTAAAGTATAAAATATAAGTGTATTACTCATCGTATAGTATAGTATACTTATATATTATATATTATAAACATTATATTATATATTACTTACTATAACTAGTATTATACTAGTTAATTAGTTAATTAGCATTCTTGTTACATTTTTCATTATACTAGTTAATTAGTTCATTACCATTATTGTAACATTTTTCATTATACTAGTTAATTACTTAATTAGCATTCTTGTTACATTTTTCATTATACTAATTAAAATACTTCACATTTTATTTAACTAGTTGTTAGTTTGTTACATTTGTCACTATACTAGTTAACTACTTAATTAGCATTGTTGTTACATTTTTACTTGTACTAGTTATTTACTTCAAAAGTTGCTATAATTTTAATTGTAGAGACACACATTAATTCTACTTTGCAAAAAATTAGTTTGAAGTATTAATTAAAATAGTTTTAATTAGTTGCATTAGTTTTGTATCCATTATTATATTTGTTGTGAATTAATATTTGTTACATTTTTTAGATGGAAGGTGGTAGATATTCGGTTGATTTGGGTAACCTCCAACGCAATCGAAGAAACGAGATTGGGAGGAAGAAATCCCGCAAAGGTAAAGAACTTGCCGGGTCTTCATCTCAAAGTCGAGATGATTTTGAAACGGGTTACCAAAGGCGAGATGGAGATGCGATGTCCGAAGAACAACTCCAACAAGAATTGGCCCGACATAATAACCGCTTTCTACAACAACAACAAATGCCGACGACCATTGACGAAGAGGAGCTTGAGGATGAAGACGCGGAGGAATTGGAACCGGAGACGGCCGAGGAGGAGGGTGCCGGCAGCCACGACGCCGACGCGCCTGCCTCATCCCAAACCGCCACCGGTAATAAAAAAAGTAAGTCTGAACTAATGAAAAATAATTTTGATAAATGGAAGGACCCACAAACCGGCTATTGGCACGCAACTTGCAAGTGGTGCAACAACAATTATAGTTTGGGAACCTCCGGCGGATACGGATCCGCCGCAAGGCATCTTAAGGCAAAGCACCCCGTGGAGTATGCAAAATTAGGCGGCGGAACGGGGAAGCAAACTCAAATATCGAGGTTTGCGAATTCTCAACCTTTTGGTAATTTCGCCTACAATGATGCACAAAATTTGACTGGTATGGCTAACTTAATTTGTGAAGAAAATTTGCCTTATTTGTTTTCTGAAAGTCTTGCTTTAAAAGATTATGCACAAGGTAGTTTAAATCCTCAATTTAGAAATTATAGTCGCAAAACTGTTAAGAAAGAAATAATAAGGCTTTATAATGCGGAAAAGGAAAGGTTACAAAATTTTTTTGCAAACTTTGATGGGCGTGTTACTATTTGTTCTGACATATGGGAGGATGATTTTCATCATTTATATTATTTGGGTCTGACTGCACATTATATTGATGAGGATTGGAATATGCATAAACGTGTTCTTGCTTTTCGTGAATTTAATGATCGTCACACCGCTGAACATATTTATATTTTGATTGAGCGTATTTTAATTGAGTATAATTTGATTGATAAGGTGTTTGCTATTGGTTTCGATAATGCTACTAATAATACTGCTGCTATACCTAGATTGCGTGAGTTGTGTGGTGCCAATTCTTTGATGGGTAGATTTTTTCATCAACGGTGTGCATGTCATGTTATAAATTTATGTGTGCAAGACGGTTTAAAAGCGTTAGGAGATTCCATGGAGGTAATAAAGGGGGGGGTTAGACGTATTTGGGGTAATGGTCAACTTAGATTAAAATGGCAAAGTTATTTGACTGAAAGAGGTGTGAGATATGTTGCTTTTCCTAAAGATTTGAGTATTCGTTGGAATAGTACTTATAAATTACTTAAAGTTGTTCTTAGATATAAAGAACATTTTCCTGCTTTTTTAAAAGAACATGATAACTATATTATAAACGCGGCTGAGATCGACACTTGCGAAAAAATTTGTAATGTTTTGATATATTTTTTTAATGCTACTGAAACTTTTAGTCATGTTTATAAACCTACCGCAAACCAATTTATTCCACAAGCTGTTAATCTCGCCGATGCTTTTAAAGAATTTCAAAATGCCGTTTTCGTTCATTATTTTTGTGATCATATGAAGGAAAAGTTTTTAAAATATTATGCGCATATTCCCCATATTTATGGTATTGCATTTATTCTCGATCCTCGTTATAGACTTGCTAATTTGGAAGATTGTTTCAACTTCTATTATCTTGCGTTTTTCGGTGAATTTCCAATGTATGAGGATAACCCCATAGATCCGAAAACGGAATACAACGAGGTTAGTACTTTATTTTATGCCTTATTTAATGAGTTTCGTGCACAATATAGCAACGCTCCCCCTCCCCCGTCACGAACATCTTCATCTAAAGGAAAATCGATTTTTAAATCTGCATTTGGCAATCTTATGAAAAAAAGTAAAACAACTCACGTCACTGAACAAAGCGCATTGAATGAGATTACTTTGTATTTAACATATGAAGTTGATTTTGAAGAAAATGATGACTTTGACGTTCTAGACTGGTGGAAGTCAAAAGAAAGAACGTTCCCGATTTTAGCACGGATGGCTAAGCAAGTACTATCAATGCCGGTTTCAACAGTTGCGGTGGAACAAGAATTTAGTTCGGCCGGCAACGTCCTAACGGCATCTAGATCGAGATTGAGCGCGGAGTCTCTTGAGACGCTTATATGCTACCACGATTGGTTGAAGGCCGCACGTAGAACTCAAGAATTGAGCATCACCCCCTCCCAAGATTTTATGGATGACTCAACAACCGATGGTGGCTCTACCTATGCCGGAGATTCCGATTGATTAGTATTTTAGAATTTAGTACAAAATGTATTTTATAGCACTTGTCAAATTTATTTATACTTGTACTTCATATTTCAAAATTGTAAACTTGTACTTCATATTTCAAAATTGTAAATTTGTAGTTGTAGTTCAAATTAATTTGTAAACTTGTACTTCATATTTCAAATAAATATGTGTTCACTTTTTCATATGTAGCACTTCTCAAATTAATTAATTGGTTACAATCTAACGACTTAAAATTATTTTTCTAAAATATAAAGCCGGTTTTTAAATTAAAAATACATTTAGAATATGTAATTTGTTTAAATACTTATACACCTATTTTGTAACATTTGTTTTAGTTTTACTTAATTCATTAAATTAATTAATTTATTTTACAATATGTGTATAACTTAAAAAAAAAAAAAAAAAAAAAAATTTCAAAGCTCCCAAACGGCTATATAGCCGTTGGGGCTATGGGTGGGGGGCAGGGGGGTCCCGGGGGTGGTGGTGTGGGGAGTGGGGTTCAAAAACACCTATAAATACATCTATTTTCTAACATTTTTCTACACCTTCTCTCCAATTCTTCTCAAACTCTTCTCCATCTTTATCTTCTCTTATTATCCTACATTCCTACTTAATTACTTATAGTGTTATACATATACCATTTTAAATATGGAAAGTACATCTTCTCTTATGCAAAACAATTTTGACAAGTGGAAGGACCCGAAGACCGGACTGTGGTGGGCAACTTGCAGGTGGTGCAAGAAAGAGTGTTGCTTGGGGGGTTCATACGGATACGGGATGCCAATAAAACATATGAAGTCTTGTGACAAAGGGAAAACAACCAACGGTGGCGGAAATCCCAATTGATATTCATTACAAAATGTATTTCGTATTGTTATTTTTTTCTCAATTCTCAAATGTAGTTCTTATTTCAAATAAATGCACTTGAACTTTGTTTTTAATAGCAATTTGTATAATATATAATTAATATAAAAAAAAAAAAAATTTATTGACCCGGCCCGGCCCGGCCCGGCGGGTGGCCCGACCCGTGACCCGGGCGGGTGACCCGGCCCGAACCGGAACCGGTCATTGACCGGGCCGGTCCCGGGCCTACCCTTATAGGACCCGAGGCCCGACCGGGCCTTGACCCGGCCCGGGCCCGACCCGGCCCGGGTCCATGCCTAAGCACAAGCCTATTAACGAGCATCACCTAAAATTTAAATTCAAGTATATTTATCGAGCTTATCGAGCGCTCGATTCAAACATCGAACGCCTATCGAGCCAAACACGAGCCTCATTTGTAACGCTCGCCGAGCTTTGAGCTAGAACCCGAACACCACTAATTCCTTATCGAGCCGAACTCGAGCTTTGGGTGTTCGGGCTTGGCTCGGCTCAACTCGAGCCCTGGTGACAACTTTTACTTTCTCAACCATTTTATTAATAATCGTGTCAAGTCAAAGTAGGACTAGGCCTGGACTCGGGCCGGGCGGCCCGACCCGGAACCGGCCCGGCCCAGCCACTGTAGCAACCGGCCCGGCCCGGTGGCCCGGTTCACCGGCGGTTCGGGTCGAACCGGCCCGGTGGTTCCCGGTTCCGGGCCCGGGCCTTCCATATGGTGAACCGGCCCGGCCGGTTCGGGCCCGGTCCGGGCCGGAAATATTTTTTTTTTATTTTTTTTTGAAAATTTTTTATGTTTTGGGTTAGATTAGGTATTTTGGTCCATTTGAGGTGGTTTGGGGTGGTTTGGGGTTGAGAAAGAGGGGTAGGGGATTAAATAAAGAAGCCAAAAAACAAAAAAAAAAAAATAGGGCGGGTGGCCCGGTCTGGCCCGGAACCGGCCCGGAACCGGCCACCCCCGGTTCGGGCTCGGGCCTCAATATTCTGAACCGAGGCCCGGCCGGGCCCATGCCCGAGGCCCGAACCGGCCCGGTTCAGTCCACCCCTAAGTAGGACACATAAAATGAGACGGAGGTAGTATAATTATATGATTATATTATTGGCTACGGTTATGAAAGCCAGTGAAAATCAAAGTCATTAGCTAACAACTTTACGTCTGGATCATACGTCATTAACCTTTTTGTGAAGATGCTGATGGATGAAACGTTAAAAAATATTTGGAGCAACCCAAGCCTACTATTGAGTATATATTTCCCACTAAAATTAGGGTCGTCTTGGGATCAAAACTGGACCCTACAGTGATAACCCTGTCTTTATAATAAATTATCCCCGTCTAAGTATATTTGCTTCTGCAGATATATACAAATAGCTATCCACAATATGGTGCCTGTCGGTGTCATGTCCGTACAATGCAATCACAACAGATCCAAAGAGTGGAGAATACCTACACGTGAAAAACCAACTAAAACTACATGACTTATTGAGGGAATTCCTATAAATATTAACCGATCATTAATACAACTTTACAATGCACTGGATGATGCAAAACTTTTCCCCACAAGTACAGAAAAAAGGTAAAAAAGACAAGAAAAAAACGGCCCTAACCTGGTAGAACCAGGCATACACTAACCCGGAGAGACATTCAATGTTCCATACTGTATTTCTTTAATATGCCATGTCATTATAGTCCCAAAATAATATACCGCATCATATGAGGGTTGCTTAATCAACCCGAACCTGTTTGGCAATACGTCTTAGGAAACGGGTTAGGGACATCTTGGCTTTCAGAAATCTCATGTCCATTTCGCTTTCCTTTCCCTCGTTGATTTTGGGCGGTTCAATAGACTGTACATTACGTACTAGATTCCGCAATTCCTGCACTCATGTTACAAAATATTTAGGCCCAATGCAATAGTAAGGTGTTGTCTTATTACCCTCTTCTTTTGCTTTTTTATTATCATATCCACCAGAAAGCTTCCAAGCAGATTAGACCAGTGAGATTTAGATCACACAAATCCAAACCAGAAACAAGACGAGATCTTAAAAAAATCATATCAGATGATATTTTTTAAGACAGATAGAATAAGTTCCAAGTGGCCAGGGAGCAAGCTATACAAACTAACATCATAAAATGTACCAGAAGAATTGGTGAATTAAACACCATTCTTTTAAAAGGGGACTGCTAAAAAACTCCATAGTTGTAAACAAATTACGGGACTCTGATTCTGGATTTTAATTTGTTCAACAAGAAAACAGTTCATTATATCAGTGATGGCCAGGCAGTAGAAGAAGCTAAACAAACAAGCCATGAAAAGGTTTAAAAAGCGGCACAGACATTTTATTTTCTCATTTAACAAGTTCCACCACAGACCAAAAACCTTAAAAATGACTACCTCCAAAACAATTTGACAATGGAAACAATGGATTGCATAGGCTTGAGAGTGAAAGAAAAAGTTATAAGGAAAGTAAAGAAATTTAACAATTCAAGCAAGAAGATTTAGTGTTTGTTTACTTGAGGATTTTGAAGAGGATGTGAGGAAAATGGAGGAAAAGTTTGTATCTGGTGTGGAGAGACAGGACGGTTGTCGCCGTGTCGGGCGAGTGCAGGAACAATAAAAACATCCAAACTACTCATACAACATTCCCTCAATTTGGGGGATTTCAAAGTTGATTTTTTCTGAATTTCTTATACTTTTATACCGAAATTGTTACCACTTACCAGTATTAGTGTCATTATTCTCATGCGTAGACTAATTTCTACCCGAAGGTCTAGAATTACGCTTCATCCCTTTTTTCAAAGTGCTGTTTTGCTTTTCTTTTTGTCCCACAATTATGTTAAATTTCTATTTCTCAACTACATTACATTTACCTCTTATAATTTGATATTTTAACCTACTTGCACAACTTTCGATAGATTTCATTCACCTTTGGGGTGGGCGTAGATTTGAAAAATTGACCAAAAACCATTTGCTTCCTTTATACTTCGTATAAATGAAAAAAGACTATTTTGGAAGGACCAGTGGAGGGATCATTAAATAATACTTTACATATTTTCCCAAATTAAGCCTCATTGAACCCATTATTTGTAATTGCACTACGCCTTTGTGCAATGAAATGAGCCTAAATGATTTTTACAACAAAAGCACCTTGAGGCGATGCACAAAAAGGCAACATCAAGGTTTAAACAATTTAGGCCTTCGGTGTATGTCTTATTGGTTGTGCCTCGGGTATAAATAGCCCCTATAGAAATATGGAACACGAGCAAAAATTACATTATTTACGGGTTATTTGCCCTCCAAATGGAAAACAAATATTTGTTAGAATTAGAGATCAGATGGGTCCCTTTAAGCATTAATCAATCAAGGGCTGCAATATAATTAGGGCAGACCCTTTATCTTTCATAGAAAAACTTAAATTTATAATACCTTTTTCAATTCTTATTCAGTTTTTTAAGTGTAATATGCAAAATTAATTCATAATTATGTTGTCATATAAAGCCAATATTGTATATTTGTATATATTTCTAGTTCTTAAGTCAGTGTGATGCTCGGGCAGTATGTAATATTTTAGAATAAAAGTTAAAATGTCAATCTTGTGTATCATTTTTGGTATATAATGTCAGGCATACGATTAGTCTTGTACGCAACAAAATTATATTTGTGTGAGAAGTTTTATGATGTAGACAACTAATTGTCTAACTACACTAATACAACAACAACATCCAAGCCTTAATCCCCAAAAAATTGGGATCGACTAACATGAATCGATCTATCATATCGATGTCAAACAGAGAGACGGGTAAGGAGGGCTGGGGGGAGTAAGATAAAACGGATAAAATAAAGAAAAATAAATATAAGAAAGATAAAAGAGCATAAAAAGCTAGAAGCTAAAAATAACATAAGAATATAAAAAGATAAAGATAAACGATAAAAGAAAAGAGAGAGGAAATGTACAAAAGACATCAATCGTCCACATAGATGTGCGCCACTCGGTCTTCCCCTCCCTCTCCTCTCTGTCTCTTCTCCCCACTTTCCAAGTCATCTAACAGGTGCATCACTCGGTCTTTACGCACATGCCCAAACCACCACAAACGAGACTCCTGCATCTTATCTTGTATAGGTGTTACTCTCACCTTTTGTCTGATTATCTCATTCCTCAAGCGATCTTTTCTGGTATGTCCACACATCCAACACAACATACCCATCTCTAGCACACTCATCTTTTGAATGTGGCATTGATTCACCGCCCAACACTCTATGCCATACATTAATGCAGGCCTAATTGTTGTTCGATAAAATTTACCTTTGAGTCTAGTCAGCGTACCTCGATCGCATAGAAATCTTGATGCACTTCCATTTCATCCAGTTGACTCTGATTCTATGACATACGTTTCCATCTAATTCACCATTCTTCTGAATTATGGACCCCAAATAACAGAACAAATCACGCACAAGTATCTCTTTACCATCAAAAGTAATCCCACTGTTGCTACTACTTCTACCTCCACCAAACTTGCACTCCATATATTCAGTCTTGCTTCGGCTCAGTCTGAAACCCTTGGTCTCCAATGTTTCTCGCCATACTTCCAACTTCGCTTTAACACCGGATTGCGTCTCATCAATCAATACAATATTGTCGGCAAACATCATGCATCACAGTATATCTTCTTGAATTGACTTCGTAAGTTCATCCATGACTATAGCAAATAAGAAAGGACATAGAGCAGATCTTTGATGCACTTCGATAGTAATAGGGAACTCTGTGATCCTCTCTACACCAATGCGAACACTTGTAGTACAAGCATCATACATATCCATGATGATACTGATATACTTACGTGATATGCCTTTTCTAGTTAAGGCCCTGCAAAGGACTTCTCGAGGTACCCTATCATATGCCCTTTCTAAGTCGAACACCAAATGCAGATCCTTTTTTGTGTCTCTATACTTCTCCACAACTTGTCTAAGAAGGTGAATGGCATCAGTTGTTAAGCGTCCAGGCATAAAACCAAATTGATTCTCCGAAATTTTGACACTTTTACGAAGTCTTTGCTCAACCACTCGCTCCTAAAGTTTGAAGGTGTGACTCATAAGCTTACTCTCTCGATAGTTGGCACATTCTTGTACATCACCCTCATTTTTAATTAGGAGAATGAGAGTACTATTCCGCCATGTGACCGACATCTTGTTGTTTCTCCAAATCATGTTGAAGAAACGTGTTAGCCACTCGATACCTTTCTCTCCCAAACTTCTCTAAGGCTCGATCGATATGCCATTTGGGCCACTGTCTTCTTCCGCCCCATTTTTCGCATAGCCTCTTTAGCTTTTGTTGTTTGAATTCTTCTCACGAAGTCTCGATTTACCATACATTCTAGTGTAGTAAGATCATCAATACCTTGCACTTCATTCCCGTTGAACGAGGTATCAAAGCATGACCTTTACCTCTCTTTTATTTCCTTGTCCTTTGATCGACATCCTTCACACACTTGACTTTTCCGATATCTTGAGTCCTACGATCCGAATGCGAGCAAGTCTGTAGATATCTTTTTCTCCTTCCTTAGAGTTCAATTTTGTATACAATTTCTTGTTCACTTGTCCTCTGGCTTCCTTCACATCTTTCTTTGCTCTTCTTATAGCCTCCTTGTACTCTATATTCTCGTCGCTCCGAATTTTGCCCAAATTCTTATAGCATTCCCTTTTGGTCCTAATTGCTTGGTTAACATCATCATTTCACCAAGATGTGTCCTTTTTTGGTGACAAACATCCTTTAGATTTTCTGAGTATCTCGTTCGCCACTTTGTTAATGGTGAACTCCATTGATAACCACACATCATCCACACCTGCGTCATTATCAATAGACCATACATCATCCTCCAACATTTTGTGTGCAAAACTTTGTTGGAGATTCCCCTCGAGCCTCCACCACTTTATCTTTGGCTCCCCTTGTACCTTAACCCGTCTCATTTTTTTAATTTGAAAATCAAGCACAAGCATCCTATGTTGAGTGACAACATTCTCACCTGGGATAACCTTACAATCAGTGTAGCTAGTTCTCCAAGTCATCCGTACTAAAAAGTAGTCAAGGGTATTATAGCTCCTTCTATAGGTGACAAGGTGAGAGTCTCTTATCTTGAACCAGGTTTTCAACACAGTCAACTCATATGTCGAGGCAAAATCCCGAATGTTCTTCCCTACTTCATTTCTAGTGCCAAAATCATGTCTGCCATGGATACTCTCAAAACCATCACGCCTTGGGCCCACATGCCCGTTGAGGTCGCCTCATAAGACGACCAGCTTCTCTCCCCTTGGCACCATTTCCTCAAGATCCTCCCAAAATTGTTGAGTGATAGATGCATCCAATCCCACTTGTGGTGCATAGGCACTTACCACGGACACAATCTCATCTCTTATTATCAACTTAATGTTCATGATACAATCGTTCTTCCTAAAGACTTCAACCACACCCTCAACAAAATCATGTGCCACCATAATACCTACTCCATTTATGTTCCTCTCCCTGAATACACAGCTTAAAACCTTCCAAGATTAATCTCACGTGCCTTTTCTCCAACCCATTTAGTTTCTTGCATGCACATTATGCTGATATTCTTCCTCTTCATAACCTCGGCTATCTCAAATGATCTTCTCGTAAAAGATCATTATACTCCGCATCACTTAGTTTCTTGCATGCACATTATGACCAGATCATTATGCTGGTATTAGCAAAAATAATACTCCGCAAATAATTTTACTTTTACATTTTTAACAAAAATTATTTTCCATCATTTTCAATGGAGCCAAAGATTCACTATTTTTGGCTAGAGAATATGTTGGAATAAAGCAAAATGGCTCACTAAACTGTCTGCGCTTCTTTGTTATGAAGCAACAGGATTTTGGACGCGATTTTCACTATGGGTCATCCGGAAACAGTCTCTTTGTGCTTTAGTACAGGAGTAAGACTGCGTACATCCTACTGTAGGTGGGAGCCTTTGCGGCACTGGGGTAATGATAATGATGATGATGATTTTTAACAAAAATTATACACTAGACTGTGGAGTGCTTTATTGTGATTATTAAATTTTCTAGGCAGATTAGTGATCTGGTCTGGTATAATCTGATCGGGTTAAGTGGACTGGAAAAAGACGAAATGACAAAAAAGCAAAACCAGTCCACTCACTAAACCAGTACCAAACCAGTAAATTAAAACATCCTAATACCAACTAATAATGACGTTCTTAACATGACTAATAAATTAACATAAACTTAAAATTACGGTACTGCACCTTTTGTGGCATTCTCAAGTTCTCCAAAAGTGTCTCAACAGCCTAGCATGGGGGGCACACGCCCTCATTTTTTTTACCCGACTCGACCAAGGAGTAAATAATGTCTACACAAATTTCCCACCATCAGTATAGCTTAGATGCCCTTAACACTTTTTTGTTACAAGATGGATCACATGGATGACTATAGGTATATTTAAGATATTGAAATGAATTCAACAGAATCATATTAAAGAATAAAAAACAAAATTGGTAGAGTTACTATTCAATTAGAGACCCAGTGCTTTGACGGGCCAGTAAAACAAGTCATCTTGAAATTTTCTTGGAACTTTAGACATTTCTTTTAATATGTTACCATTTAATCTTGAACCCTTTGGAATAAGCAAAATTGGTAGAATTACTATTCAATTAGAGACCCAGTGCTTTGACGGGCAAGAGCTCATGCTTGAGGGCATGTACAGAGAGAGTGAAAATCATGAGCGGTGTGAAGGTTAAGGTGTAAAAGAAATGGATTCGATATAGGACAAAAGAAACTAAACTTGATCAACAAAAACGGTGACTTGGATGCTCATGGTTTCCTAGAATCCTTGATGCTGATGAAGATTGTTTTACTTCGATCTTTAGGCCTTTAGGGGGGTGCTGATTAGGAGGAGAAGTTGCTAGGGGTTTATATCCCAGTTCCAAACAACAACTGTTAAGTGATGATTCTAATTTTTACCTCAATGTATTGAAAGTGGCACACTTATTAAGAAAAATGGAGTTATGTGGTTAACATTAAATTTGTAAAATACGAATGAATTTGAACTACACAAGTATTACAATACGTAGTATATTAAACCATTAATGAAATTCAGATTGGACACTAAAGTTTTAAGTAGACCAAATAAACACAAATTTAAACCTTTTGATTCCATTTTAGCCACCCTTAACTGCTCCGTTATTTTGTTCACTTTGATGCCACTATAAAGCACTGCCGGAAGAGATTAGCTACGGTCTTCGCCTCATCACCGGTTGCTCACAATCCTCCCATCAGAATTCAGAACGGGTCGATTCGACTCTTCTTCTCCCAAGTGCAGCACACGCTACTCATCCTCTGCGGTGAACAGAAACACCAACTATCCGCCTCCTTCTGCTACTTAAAATCAAATCATTTCATCATCATTTTCATTTACCCCAGTGCCGCAAAGGCTCTCACCTACGGTGGGGTAAGGGGGGGTCGGATGCTACTTAAAATCAAATCAAGAGCAAAAATGATAGATGGAGCTCCTTCTTCAACGGACACATGGGTAACAGGAGAGATTCAATGGCTACCTTCCTTGAAACCTCTGTCCACTGCTCAAAAAAGAAAATCTAGCTAGAGAAAATCGATATCTAGTTCAGCATCCAATAGAATCAGCAACGCCTCAGCCTTTGATACTGAAACGGTGAATGAGCAGCAGCATTTGACGACACTGGCGAACGAGCAAAGCAACCGGCAACAGAGACGAAGACTCCTCTGAATTTCAACCGCCGATTTCTTTCTCTCCAACAAAGAGCTCTATCAGCCCAGCAAAGAAACGGGGACATCGGCCCACTACTCTTCACAATTAACCGGCGTAGCCTCGGCATCTAACACAGCAAACGAACACCAACATCCACCGATAAAATCAACATCTCTCCGTCGTTCATCACCAGAAGAAAATTGCTGCAGACCATAATCAGAAATTGATCTCAACGGTAGCCCTACGATTCTTCATCCTCCAGCAAACAGAAGGCTCTCTACCACCATGAACTTAGTTTTCATACATTGGGGTTGTGTTGTTTAATGACAGGGAAGGGTCATCTAACGGAGATGTTAAAGATTTAAAAGGTTTAAATTTGTGTTTATTTGGTCTACTTAAAACTTTAATGTCCAATCTGAACTTCATTAAAAAAATTAGTGTCATTTTTGGCCCTTCTCCCTATTATATGAGACAAACTCTAGGGGAAGACGAATAAAGAAAGGTGAGTAAAATAATGGGACAGATGAGGTCAGAAAGATGAGGCATTTGATATTATGCTCATTGTTGTTGGATTTGACTGTAAAGTGTAAAGTTTTTTGAAATTACAAAAACTTTATCACAGTATTTTAAGATTTGAAGTGATTTTAATATTAATTGTAATTAGTTTACTGAAATTTATTGTTAGGCAATTTCTGACATTTATCAAACCAAACAAATTTTTGTATACCACGTCCATCCCCCCGCCCCCCGTCATATATCCTCCCTTCTTTTATAAGGGTTCAAGTAATAGAGGATATTTTAAGTTTTTCCTCAAAATGTGACTTCAAGGATGTTTTTACTTGGACTGTAATCTGTCCCAGACCAGACTTGGATAGTTATAAAAATACAAAGAGACCAGACATTACCAGACCAGACATTACCAGACCAGCCCAGCAAATTACAGTCCAAGTAAAAACATCCCAAGTATCAATGTGTCATAATTGTATATGAGCCAAAGAGAAAAGGAGTGATGTGAACAATGTTTATTTGGGTAACAAAAGGATATGCCATTGAGGCAATGACAAAAACTAATGATGGAGCATAACTAACCTGACGATCAAACTCGGCTTCGCGAAGAGAATATATTTCATTGCTAATCTCGATGTTCTTATTAACTAAGCCATCAAACCATCTATCTGCCAATTCAATATTCTGCAACAAGTGAAAAAAGATGGCATAATATGTTTATTCTATTTTTGTGACGGTTAGGGTTATAAATGAATCACATAATTTTGACTCAATTGAACAATATTCAAATATATTAGAATGGGAATATATGTATATACAATATATATGAGTTTGTATCAATGACTAATCAATGAATATAGTACAGCCTAAAAATACTAATAACATAATATTAATGTACCGAAACTCATAGATATTTTGCATGTTTTATTTTGAATTTTTTTGCTCCGTCATGAATTTCAAAGTAGTTTACTTTGGCGTTATAATTCTAAATTGACTTACTTATATTGATGTTAATTTTGATGAAGTGACTATACATTTTGATTTGTATGAAAGATGTGCTATGAAAACAGGACAAAACGACAAACTATACATTATAATTTTAATTATTTGATAAATTTTACATTTAATCCTTTTGAATTCGGATATTCGAATAAGATTCAAATATATTTAATATAACCAACAAAGTGAATGTGAATAACAAATAAGATCCGCTTATTAAACACAATGTTGTCAATCCCAGATAGCGGAGCGTAGCGACGAGCCCCAAAAACGCTATAGCGGTATAGCGGATAGCGGGATGACCGCTATTTAGACTACTTTCAAATATAATAGATAGGGAACTACTAGAAGCTTATGTAATACATACATATGAAAAAAAATACTCTTTGCCTTACTGGAAGCATATGTTTTAACTATGCTAAGGTACATCTAAGGTCTGCAAAGAGACTATTGAAACTAGATGGTTCACCCACCTAAATTACTTGGAAATACTCTTTAGTTTCATACTTTCATGAGCAAAACATAAGTTTCATACTTTCATGAGCAAAACATAAGTTGCTAATAATAATTAAAACATCTTAAATCAAAACATTGAGTCAAAACATACTTTCAAGATGTTCTCCTATGGGCTTAAACAAGACAGTAGACTGACTAGACTCCATACGAGAAGAAGAAGAAGAAGAAGAAGAAAAGAAGACTGCAGGTATGCAGCAAAGGTTGGAGAAGAAGAGTTGAGGCCGTTCCTGGAGGTGAGGCCATCGCAGAGCAGAAGATGGTTGTTAGAGCCATCACAGAGGTGCAACGGACTATTTTCAAAAGATGGCTTCGGTTTGAGCTTTTGGTAGCCTAACTTACGTCTAAGGGCTTTAACTAGGTTAATATTTTTGTTTTAAAAGTCTAATTTACCCCCTTCTATGTCTGCGCTTAAAAATTAATGCTAAAATTTTGCACAGTACTCTTCACCATAAAAAGCGCCGCGTTAGCGGCCGTTATTATCTTCCGTGCACCTCTGCGATAGCGGGCGCTATGGCCGCAACTCCCAAACGCCACGCGAGAACCTTCCTTTTAGCGCCTAACATGTCTGCCGCACCGCTTTTCCGCTATTGCGCGCTATTGGGTCGCTATTCGCAACACTTTCTTTGAACATAGTAGTATTGAACCCGTGCGATGCACGGAGATATAAATACTCTTTTAATTTTCTTTGATGTTGTACAATTAAGAAATGCTACTTTGAAAAATACTTTCTCAAATAGCCCCTAAAATATAAAAAGAGAAATATTGATAGGTGTTATGACACTAAATACAATCGTAAAATTAAAGATAGTATAGTATAAGAAATTGCACTTTTTGAATTATACACTACATATATAATTGCTTTGGATAGTATCATTTTTGTTGTCAATGTTTTCAATTTGTTTTGTTTGGTAACACTTAAAAGGGCTCTTTAAGATCAACCCGACCTAAGAAGCAATTTTCAATTTCATTTATGTTACAAACTCTATACTACCCCTATTATTTTACTCTTAAAACTCATGTTCATAAGCAATTAATAAAGAATGGAAGGAGTCAAGGAGTTACATAAGGAAAAAGTTAACAATTGTAAGATAAAATATTACGAAGTATAAATTTGGCCCACTAAAGTTGTGTATTTGAGACTTTGAGTATTTAACTACATCATAGGCTGCACATACATCTATTCATATATACACTCTTCTAGCTAGGGACACGTGTCTTGCTTGCTATACGGCCTCTACCCTCACTGGTTTAGATTTCTTATCATTGTGTTATTGATGACTAATAAGCTCTCTTCTATATTTCAAGCAATACCCCGGTTCAAGAATTACTGTACTTTGTAATATCAGTATATTTTTGTTAACCAAAAAACATAACTCCACATTAAGAGACAGACGCCCATCTCCTCCAGGAGACGGCCCGACCCGGCAATTCAAAGGAACCCCAGGTTCTACTTCAGGCACAGCCTGGTTGAGCGCCAATTTTGGGATATACGCGGACATCCCATATTCCCATCTCTCTACGACCCGTTTTTTTAATATCATTCTTTCTGAAAACTTCAACAGATTCTATACATGTAAAACTATTACATCAGTTTGCCGGCAATGCCATTTCTCTTTGTTCGTAATAGCTTTCTCTTGACTAAACAGTTTTTTTATATTATTGTTTGATCAAATAACTATGGAGACAATCAAACAAAAATACACAAAACACAAAATATGAAAGATGGATCACCTCAAATTTGCCTGCAGTCTGGCTTTGATTTCTGGAGTCGTTTTTTACGTAGTACTACGAATATTTTAACCTTCTTTCTTAAAATACAACCCCATGCATATTTGAGGAATTGTGAGCATGCTGCCAATTTCCGAAAGTGGGCGGATATTTCTTACCGGCACTTTAGAAACCGCTTCGTATTTTTAGACAGACTGAACAGTTATTTAACAGGGATTTGCGCATACATTAAACAGGCAGGAACAGTTACTTGACACACAATTCCATTGTTATATATATAAAGATAAGAGTGTGAATATTCGGTAATTTATACGAATACAAATAATGATGTCAAGTATTCAGTTTGATTTGTTTAGTCCCCTAGTTATCATCTCTATTTTCATTGAAAATTCATTCCTGGGGATTTTCTTCTTCTGAATATCAAACTAGGTCATGCAACACTCAACTATGTTAGCCCATAACTCATGCACCCTCCCTCCTTACAGAATAACATGACTTCTAATGAACTTTCCTAGACGGAAACCAATTATTGTAGTCTCTTAGAATTCAGATATGAAAGACAAGGTGGCTTTTTTGTGTAGTCCCATCAATTCCCTATCGAACATATATATAAGTCATATGGCATCATGATATATTAAAGAAAGACAAGTACTACAAGTAATTAGTAACACAATGCACACCTCATCATCATCGTCGTCATAATCATCATCATCACTCTCCTCATACTCAGTTTCATCAGCTTCTTCATCTTCAATGTTCTGTGTCCTTGAGCTACATAAAGCCTCAATCTGTTTTTGGTCACCATTGCTAGTTGCCTTAATCAAGCCATCCATCAACTCAGGCTCCGCATCCCGAAGCAGTTTGCCTAAAATAAACTTAATAAACATACAATATCTGGGAAGTTACACACACACTTGTTAAGCTAAGTTTCCTAGAAAATCAAGTAAAATGATTATCATTTCATTGCAAACACATTGGTCTGCATTGATTGATACAGTAGTAGATCTTATAAGAAAAATAAATGCTGCAATTTACTACCTCTGTCCCTTAAACTATGACAAAGTTGACCAGCGGGGAGAATAATAAAATAAAAACTGTGTGGTTGAAATTTGTGCAGAGGAGAGAGAAATAATAGAAACCACAAAATAATTGATTAAAAGGAAAAGTGGTAATGTTTTTTGGGGCGTCCCAAAAAGGAAAGATTTTGTTATTGTCAAAGTTTTTGGCAATAGTTTTTGGCAATAGTTTTTGGAACGGAGGGAGTATTTATTTACTTAATGACGAATACTTTGAGAGGCAGACCTATATGGCTGAATTGTCTTCGTTTTCCTTCCCGGACGTCACGACCAAATCTCTGCGTCAAACAAAAGATAAGTATACCTTCTAAAACAATCATAACCACAAGAAAGCAACTCTGGGGCTAGCAGAAACGAAAATGAAGTTCATATGAAGTACTCACCTTGACAAGCATGAGTTCATCGTAGACATCATCCTTAACTGCAGTCACTCTGATTAAAGCATTTAAAAACAAACAAAAAATGAGAACGTAGTGCAATACATTGCTGTCATCGCACCAATCTGTTGGAAAGTTACATTTCCTTTTACTAGAAAGAAGAATTCAACTGCCATTACCTGAGAATTCGTTTGATTTGAGAAGGCGAGAACTTGGCTAGTTCAATCCCCCAGCGAACGGCGCGCTGAGCTTCGCGTTTCTTCGCATTTCGGCTCTTCTTCACCTTATCAGAACCGCCGTCGCTGTCGCTGTCGCTCTCGGATGACTCCATCGGTACAGGAACGTCCGGCATTCGGAAGGCGCCGGAGCGGAAGCTGAGGTGGCGGCAGGACGAGAAGGGAGCTGAAGAAAACGGAGACGAAGAGCAGGAAGCGGTATGAGAAGTTCGTAACGGTGAATGAAGAAAACGAATCGTCACTGCAGGAGGGAAAGAAATTCGGTATTGCCATCTTGTTGGCCACTTCAACCAAGCCTTCATCGCATGAGCCATCTCACTACCTCAGCTTCCTGCAACGGAAGCGAGGAGACAGAACGAACCAAGAAGGCAGGTCCGGATCGAGCGCTCGTCGATTTGGGCCTTTGGGCTTTTACTAGAAAAGTCGACAATGGACTGGATAGCCCAATGGGTTTAACATGGAGACGCGCGTGAACTGTGTAGACATACTGGTATACAACGCGTATTTTTTTATCCCACACCGAGAGTTTTAGGATTGTTTGCTCGATTATGGCATTTTAAAAAGAAGAGTTGGATGAATAGAGAGAATATGATCCTTCAGGTTTTATGGGGATGTGATGAGTGGTCAATACTTGCATTTGTTGCAAGATGAGTGCCCGCCTCTCTTGTTACGACAATTGGGCGCTCTCACTATTTTCCATCTGATCCCTACACATTTTATTTTCTTTGCCATCACTAATTTTTCCTCTTTCTAAAAATAAAATCCTTTTTGTTATTTGCGTTTTTTTGTGTAAATCCTTTTTACTATTCATGGTTTTTGCTTTATTTTTTTAATAAAATAAAATCCGTATTTTGCTTGAGGCCATTACATTTAGTTTTCTCTTTCATGCTAAGAGGCTTAAGAAGCTGTTTGATAGTGCACAAAAATCGGCCGCCAAGACGGCATCTTTGAAGCTTAGCCTGGATTGAGGCGTGAAAAAGCATTTTGTGTTTTTATCCTTTATTTTAATTTCCCTACAACTATTTTAAATATCCTTTATTTTAATTTCCCTACAACTATTTTAAATATTTTAATTCAATACTATGTATAATGTATTATATAATGTTATTTAAAAACATCATAATATTCAAATTGAAAAAAAAAATCTGTTGAGTCCTGGCTATATCTTGCAAATATATTTACAAGTTACACAAATAACAGAACTATAAAATTGCATTTTTTAGTATTATTAATAATAAAAAGAAATAGTATGTAATATATGACTAAAATAAGGATAATGGTCAAAATTGTGATTCTGTAACTTTTAAAGACTATAATTAGGTTCTAATTTTATACTAGTATTTTAGTGACGATTTTTTTGTTGCACTTTCTTTTTTCTCATAGTATCCGTTCTGTTAAATGTCAATATTCTTGACTGGGATTACTTTCGAACCAGTGACCTTCTCCTTGGGAGTGTCACAGTGATAGTATTGAACCACAACTTTATTTTAGTGACCAAAAAGATACAATTACTGTTATCAGACACATTTTTGGTCCATTAGTTTTATTATTATAGTATTCCGTAGTACTTGAGATAAAATCTTTAATAAAATTGATAATGGAAAGATAATGGTAATGGTAATAATAAAATATTATAATAATATAATAACAATAATGCATTACGCAGTATAAAACTTTATAATACTAGTTAACTACGTATTTAATTATAATTATATCAATAATATAATATTAGTATAGTAATTATTGATACGGAGCACTTGGTGGGCAAAGAAAAAATTTTCACTACGTTCTGTGTAAAACTCTCCCACACCGGAGGTGATAGGAGTATTCGACTTCCTAGGCGCTTATAAATTGCTCTCTCTAGCAGACTTCGTAACAGCAAACGCCTTCTATGTTTGACCATGCCTTCCGCGAGTCGAAAATGGAGGCCAGTATAATTTTTCGCCTTTTGCAACGCCCAAGGGCAATGCGAGGCGTTCCTTCTGCGTCTCACGCATTGGCAGGCCTAGGGGTCGCCTTTCGGCGCCTTTGAGAATACTTGTTTCTGTTGATTTAAGAAAAAATTATTTTGAAAATATATTTTATTCATAAAATAAAGAAAAAGTGATATGTAAAAATAACTAAAATAGTCATTTATAGTAACTTCAGTCAATATAGGGTTGGTTTGCAACTCCTTTTAAAAAAGCACACTTCTCAGTTCTTGGCTTTAAAAAAGCACTTATTTTTCCAAACATTACAACTTTTATTTTTCTCGGCTTCCGCATCAAAAGTGCTTTTACTTTTTCTATTACACAAAAAGCACTTATTTTACCAAACACTACCCACTTTTACTTTTCAAAATCACTTTTTTCTCAAACACTATCAACTTATATTTAATCACTTCTCCCCATTTCATTAAAAAACATTTTTTTAAAAGCAGAAGCTGTTGCAAACAGACCCATAGTCAGAAAAGAAATTTTAACCTTACTTTTTTTGCTTATTAAACAATTCAATGCGTGAAAGTTACGTATTTGGTGAAAAAATTGGTTGATAAGACTGATAAGCCGAAAAACCCTCTAAACTCATGTTGGAACATTAGCTTGACAATTTAATACCGTTCCAACATAGGAAGGGAAAATGGAAACTAATAATCCAACCTTTTAACGGTCTTCTTTTAAAAGTCCCGCATTTTCGTTATTCATGAATAATCCAACCTTTGCACCTCATCTTCATTCACTGGTCCCTGACCGGTTGATGACATGTTATTCCAACTTATTTTCTTATCTTTGCAAAATATTATCTTTGTTAAAGGTGGAATTTATGGTATAATAGTTTGCAGAGATAAGAAAATAACTCGGAATAGCAGGTCATCAACCGATCGGGGACCAATGAATGAAGATGAGGTGCAAAGGTTGGATTATTCATGAATAATGAAAAGGTCGGACTATTAAAAGAAGACCGCTAAAAGGTTGGATTATTAATTTCCATTTTCCCACATAGGAATGGACTTGATTTACACGACAGTATTTTTACAGAAAAGAGTGCTGTTCATAATTTTCTAACGTTCACTTTTTATTTCATTTTATAGCTAATGCTTAAAAAATATTTAGACCCATTTTGTACTTCTGTTATACAAAAAGAAGAAGAATATCTTCGTGATGTTAATTGATGTGATGGGGGGTTGGAGGGATTTGGTGTACGTAAATGTAAATGGTGTAAAATGGTGTAAGTTGATTGACATGAACAGTAGTTACTACGAAGTGCACTAATAATGTGGGAAACCTCAAAGGGCAAATTGGAGAAAACATAATATTAGTGGTGTTTATAAAAGGAAAAGTAGACATATGGACGGAGTTTTGGGACAGACTAAAGAAAAATGAGATGAAAGAAGTACTATATAGTATTATCTTCATCCCATTAACACTGAAAAATGAGAATGTGATACAATTATTAAGAAAAATGTCTTTATGTGTTTGATATTGAATTAATAAAATAAGAATGATTTAGAAAGTATAAACCGGTTGATGGAGTATATGGCCCAGGAACCCCCGGCCCGTAGACTCCTACTTCTCCTACACAAGTCCATTGAGCTCAGGAAACAACTCAGGCCCAAATACCGCGGCCCAAGCCTCAAAGCAGCCCAGAATACACACTGGGGTGCCTTCGGCCTCCTTGGCCGAAGGCTCCAAAACTCACAGGATAGCCTTCTCTGGCATAAGAAGCTACCGGAAGAAAACGGACAAAAAGATGAGCCTTCGGCATTCTCATGCCCTCGGCTACACAAGGAGCCCTCGACTACACAAGAAGCCTTCGGCTACACAAGAAGCCTTCGGCTACACAAGAAGCCCTCGACAACACAAGGTGCCTTCGGCTGAACAAGCTCAATCATCGAAGATTCCTTTTAGAGACAGCCAACCACCGCATTTAATGCCACGTCGCATCCACCAACCGCATTCAATGCGGTTGACGTACCACTGCCGGTGCCACCAGGCTGATGTGACCCTTCGGCCGTTGGATTACTGACACGTGTCCTCTCATCGCATTTATTGCTGCTATAAATAGCAGCCCATTTCTCCTTGTAACGGACATGATCTACATCTCAACTCCACATCTCGAGTTCATTTAATAAAATCGACTCTCTCTCCTCCTATTTTCTCTGACTTCTCTCTAAGTTATTCCCGTAATAACCCCTCGGATAAGATACCCCCCGGGTAGACTATCCATCACCGGTATATAATAAAAGAGTCTTATATTGAAGAAAATCTTCTAAAATTAGTGTATGTGGATGGGTCCATCAAGCCCAAATGAAAAATAAAAAGTCTTGGTGTACACCCTGGGTTATACCTTAGGGTACACCATATATAAGGCTAATTTTTTACTGCTTTCTTTACCCCTCCTCTCGCACAACCCTCCCCTCCCCTTCCCTCACGCACGTTTCTTTCTCTCCCACATCCCTTTCTGTTCGTTCTCTTCTTCGAGCCCTTCTCTCGTTTTTTTAATTTTTTTCTTCAAACATCATGGATGATTTTCTAGCATATTTGATGGTGGATGGAGAAGTGACCGGAACCGACGGAGGTTTGGAAGATACCTACCTGTGACGGACAACGGAAATGGAAGAAACGCAGAAGCTATGAACATCGAAAATGGGGGAGTTGTGAACGAAGAAGATGGAGCTGCGATGGAGGACGGAAAGGGTAGAACTGTGAACGAGGAAGATGGTGGTCCGAACAACGCTAGGGACAAAGACTTAGGTGGGATGGGTGGCGGACCTATGACACAAGGCGTCGACAAAGTTCCGATATTTGACGACAGGGATGATTGCAACTGTGACGGGGAAGGGAATAGCAGGGAGAAGATGAATGCAGATGTTGGAGGTATTTTCTTTGACACACACGCCAGCTTACATACTCAGTGTCGGTGTGTACCGACAACTAATGTCGATGTGCACAGAGTAGTGTCGGTATGTATAGACAACTGAAGAAATCCTCATTGAATTAATTTATACATACAAAGATGAATGTTGTATCTATGAATGAGTTAATGTATCTATGAATGTTGTTAATGTATACCCTACTACTGTAATGTATACCTATACAGATGAATGTTGTACGTATCTATGAATGAGTTAATGTATCTATGAATGTTGTTAATATATACCCTACTACTATAATGTATACCTACAAAGATGAATGTTGTATCTATGAATGAGTTAATGTATCTATGAACGTTGTTAATGTATACCTACAAAGATGTATTTGATGTATGAATGTTGTTAATGTATGTTTTTTTACTCCAGGGGGCGTCTGGGGGAGGGGGGCTGGGGGAGCCTGGAGTAATCTAGGTTGAAACTCACTC